AGCATGGGAACGCTAGTAGGGGGTGACCACCATGATCTTTTGAGATCTATATTAACAACCCAACATCAGCATGGGAACACTAGTAGGGGGTGACCGGAAGTCTGCATTTCAATTGATAGAGGAAGCAGTAGTATACCACAGAGAGAACCAACATGTCACCAGAGAGATATAGCAGGAAACTTTACTATCATCAGAACAAGCGAGACTCAAACCTATACTCCGACAATGGTCTGTGACTCACGATTTCTAGACGCCGCATTTTGTGTACTTTGTTTATGACATTATTATTTTTGATGTCTTCAGTATGTGTACTCTATTTAAATCACTTGAAGAGCCCCAAGATGGGGAAAAAACCTAGCTAAATTTAGTCTTCTGTGTTTTATTTTATGTATATATGTAAATACCGGTAGTACAACTTATGTATTGACTGGGTAAAGAGTGCCACAGGTGAAAGTTGGTGAACTAAATTTTCAACTATGACAAGCAGAAGTAAAATGCCTTACAACTTTGTTACTGTAAGCATCCTGGTACTTGTTGCTTGAGTCTGATTTCACTCTGATGATTTTTTTTCCAGGAAGATGGATTTTCATATGTGCTTTACACTTTTCCCCCAAAACTATATATTGATGTACATATTATATAGCTTTCAATTACATAAATTGTGAGTGCACTTATTCATCAAAATGCTAAAATATTCACATATTTGACAATACACTAAAATTTGTGTCTGCTAAAATGAGCACCATTACAGTATCTTTGTTGACAGTAATCAGTAAACATTAAAGCTTTGAGAGACCATGATAATGAACTACAAGTCATGGGAAATTTTGTCCAAAAACGAAGCAAGTCTTCACAGTCTGGCAGAACAAGTCTGAGGTACAATATGAAACTATCAGTGCAGCTAAAGGCAGCAACTAGTTTTGTCACACATATATATATATAACAGTAACAGAGATAAGCTTGAAATCATGATACCAGCGCTTACCCTGGTAAACCTATATAACATCTACACACAATATGACTGACTAACACAGATAGCAGGTAAATCATTTAAATAGCCTAACGAAACTATACTTGACAAAGTTAATTACCCGGTAGCAGGAACATCACTTGGTAATCTCTCTAGCAGGAACATCACTAGTCTCTCCTATAGAAACATCACTAATCTCTCCTATAGGAACATCACTAATTATAATCTCTCCTATAGGAACATCACTAATCTCTCTAGCAGGAACATCACTAATCTCTCTAGCAGGAACATCACTAATCTATCTAGCAGGAACATCACTGATCTCTCTAGCAGGAACATCACTGATCTCTCTAGCAGGAACATCACTGATCTCTCTAGCAGGAACATCACTAATCTCTTCAGTAGGAACATTACTGATCTCTCTAGCAGGAACATCACTAATCTATCTAGCAGGAACATCAGTAATCTCTCTAGCAGGAACATCACTAGTCTCTCCTATAGAAACATCACTAATCTCTCCTATAGGAACATCACTAATCATAATCTCTCCTATAGGAACATCACTAATCATAATCTCTCCTATAGGAACATCACTAATCATAATCTCTCCTATAGAAACATCACTAATCTCTCCTATAGGAACATCACTAATCATAATCTCTCTAGCAGGAACATCAGTAATCTCTCCTATAGGAACATCAGTAATCTCTCTAGCAGGAACATCCCTGATCTCTCTAGCAGGAACATCACTGATCTCTATAGCAGGAACATCACTAATCTCTTCAGTAGGAACATTACTGATCTCTCTAGCAGGAACATCACTGATCTCTCTAGCAGGACCATCACTAGTCTCTCCTATAGAAACATCACTAATCTCTCCTATAGAAACATCACTAATCATAATCTCTCCTATAGGAACATCACTAATCATAATCTCTCCTATAGGAACATCACTAATCATAATCTCTCCTATAGGAACATCACTAATCATAATCTCTCCTATAGGAATATCACTAATCTGTCTAGCAGGAACATCAGTAATCTCTCTAGCAGGAACATCACTAATCTATCTAGAAGGAACATCACTAATCCCTCCAGTAGGAACATTACTGATCGCTCTAGCAGGAACATTACTGATCTCTCTAGCAGGAACATCACTAATCTCTCCTATAGGAACATCAGTAATCTCTCTAGCAGGAACATCACTAATCTATCTAGCAGGAACATCACTGATCTCTCTAGCAGGACCATCACTAGTCTCTCCTATAGAAACATCACTAATCTCTCCTATAGGAACATCAGTAATCTCTCTAGCAGGAACATCCCTGATCTCTCTAGCAGGAACATCACTGATCTCTCTAGCAGGAACATCACTAACCTCTCCAGTAGGAACATTACTGATCTCTCTAGCAGGAACATCAGTAATCTCTCTAGCAGGAACATCAGTAATCTCTCTAGCAGGAACATCAATAATCTCTCTAGCAGGAACATCACTAATCCATCTAGCAGGAACATCACTAATCTATCTTGCAGGAATATCACTAATCCATCTAGCAGGAACATCACTAATCTCTCTCCTACACAGGATATGTTGACAATTACACGTGTATACATGTATTTAGAATAATTCTTTGTGATATAGCATATTTATTTCACTCTTTATACCAGAAATAATGCCAAAACTGAAAAATAAAGTGTATGTACATTTGAGTCATTTGTTTCAGTATATTAGCCGGCGCCCCAATCTGCTAATTACCTTCGATGATACTGTAATTACTAAAGCATTATCAAAATTGACACACGGAATTCTTTTAGAAAGAAGCTTCAGATAGCTGCAACAGTCTATATCATTTTACTTTTAAATCCATCACGTGTCTAAATTGTTCTTCAAACTATGCGTGTTAATAGTTGATATGTACTACCTAAGATGCACCTATGGTCCAAGTTTGGTTGATCTAGCACTTAGACTTAATTAAATCATCATTAAATGAATACACAATTTGTCTGCAGAAGGGGTCACAGCTGACACATATACAGTAAAACCAGAGTCCATAGAGTGGTCTATTATTGCAGTTGGTTTCTCAATACAGCTAATAATATAAAACTGTTTTACAGCAATTATGAATGAAGTTTTATCACATGATATATTACATGACTGGTGCTAATTCCCAGCCCTGATTGGAGGACTGACGTCATGTGACGAGTCTGTAAATATGTTACAGACCTCGTTCTATGAATAGAAAAGTGTTACAGACCTCGACCTATCAATAGAAAAGTGTTACAGACCGCTACTAAAAATAGGCCTAGGTAATTTCTCAGTCAGTCTGTAATTCTGTTACCAATCACACTGCTGATTTCAACTACAAATGAATTATCTCATCAAATTCTGAACTATGTGAATATTGATGATGTCAATTGTGCAAACAATATTTACTTGAAATTAAATATCACAGCTATAAGCCAAAGGCTAAATAATACCCCCTGCTGCTATATAAACAAGAACTGTAAGCTAAAGGCTTACTTAGGCACAGCATTGCAAAGCAATCTATACATAGTCTCCCACCGGTAATTATTTCTTTATTGACTGAGCTATACACTTATTTAAGTATACTGGTCACTGACATACTTCCAGTACTCCCTCCCCATGCCAAAACATACTTACAAACCAAACTTTGTTAGCCCAGATGAACCAGTTTTGCTAAAATTGTCCTATTAGTTAAGGAGAAGATGTCAGGACAAAGATTTTTAACAAAGGGTCATAACTCCTCAAAAAGGGTCGAAATGAAAAAAAAAATAGCCTGATGCACAACATCAGGGGGTAATTACAATATCTGTAAACTTTTATTGAAATCGGCCCAGTAGTTTATGAGGGAGACAAAGGTTTATTCAACAAAGGACCATAACTCCTTTTAAAAAGGTTGGAACGAAAAATTGCTACTTGAATGCACAACGTCGGGGGGCAGTTACCATATCTGTAAAAAAAATATGAAATTGGCCCTGTAGATTAGGAAAAGTTGTCAGGACAGGTAATTTTCAACAAAGGTCCATTACTCCAAAAAAAGGGACAGATTGAAAAAATAAAACCTGGATGCACAATATCAGGTGGTAATTATTATATATATGTGAAAACTTTCATTGAAATTGGCCCAGAAGTTTTGGAGAAGTTGTGCGGGAAAGCACTTTTCAACAAAGGGCAATAATTCCTAAAAAAAAGGGTCATAATGAAAAAATAATACCTGGATGCACAACTTCAGGTGGTAGTTATCATATCTGGAAAGTTTCATTGAAATCGGTCTATCACTTTGGAAGGAGTTTTGAGATATAAAACCTACAGTGTGATTTGCAAAAAGTTTTCCTCTAGCTGTTTCTTACTGTAAAATGTATAGCAATAAATAAACACATCAATTTTTAGAGGTTTTTTTTATTCAATTTCAAATTTCCGTTATTTATATATTTTGAATGCTCTGTTGCACATATATCGACCGGAAACTTGTATAACCATGCCTTTTTTTATATCATCTAATTGGGAAAATAAAGACTGAAATTGGGAAAATACAAGGTCATTTTTCAATTGGGAATGGGTCCCGGACCCTATTAACACCTGGCAAAAAACCTGATANCCCCCCCCCCCCCCCCCCCCCCTTAACTTCATTGCGGGGGGTATACAAATTCTTAAGACTCGTTTAATAAATCCCATATGAAATGGAAACTCATGTAAGATTATGTTAATCACTCTTGTTGGCCCATATATTGGATAGCAGGGGGTCTTAATTTGATAGGAAACCAGGGTACCCAGAGAAAACTCACATGCGTGGTCTTGCAGATGACACCATACCTGTTAACATCTGATAAAGGAATAGAACCCTATTGGTGAAGGAAGAGTGCTCTATCCACTACTTCCCTAGTTCAGGTAATAACACTAAATACGAGGGTAAGAATACACCACAGAGGCTGAGCACATAGCTTTAGAAAATCTGCCAAAGCTGTCGGTGTGAGAAAGAAATTGGATGCCACTCACAACACAACTTACCTGAGATATCGACGACCTGGTTCTATGTTGTCAGGAATGAGCAAGTAGTAACACCCTACAGCAAACCAAGACACCTAAAAATAAACAAATGGAGGGATTCATCAGCCACCTTGTAAGGTCCAGGAAACCAAGACACCTAAAACACAAGGGATGGATTCATCAGCCATCTTATAAGGTCCAGCAAACCAAGACACCTAAAACACAAGGGATGGATTCATCAGCCTTATTGTAAGGTCCATCAAACCAAGACACCTAAAACACAAGGGATGGATTCATCAGCCTTATTGTAAGGTCCAGCAAACCAAAACACCTAAAACACAAGGGATGGATTCATCAGCCTTATTGTAAGGTCCATCAAACCAAAACACCTAAAACACAAGGGATGGATTCATCAGCCTTATTGTAAGGTCCATCAAACCAAGACACCTAAAACACAAGGGATGGATTCATCAGCCATCTTGTAAGGTCCAGCAAACCAAGACACCTAAAACACAAGGGAGAGATTCATCAGCCTTATTGTAAGGTCCATCAAACCAAGACACCTAAAACACAAGGGATAGATTCATCAGCCTTATTGTAAGGTCCATCAAACCAAGACACCTAAAACACAAGGGATGGATTCATCAGCCTTATTGTAAGGTCCAGCAAACCAAAACACCTAAAACACAAGGGAGAGATTCATCACCCATCTTGTAAGGTCCAGCAAACCAAGACACCTAAAACACAAGGGAGAGATTCATCACCCATCTTGTAAGGTCCAGCAAACCAAGACACCTAAAACACAAGGGATCAATTAAAAACAGTGACACATTGTTTAGGTAAAGCTCAGTGTGTTTATTTATTATTTTGTTCACGTTTACTCACCGGCTTGTTTGGGTAGAGATCCACTAACTTGTGTGCCAAGTAAAATAATTCTGAAATCAGAAAAATAACAAACATCAATAATTGAATTCATAACATGTATCAGATTAGTTTTGCTTACACTACAGAGTTAAGTTTCCTACTAAATTCCAGACATTTTTTAGGAGTCAAAAATTTCGGTTTCAAATAAAAGTTGTTTTCCTCCTGCTTTTGGTGTTTTTTTATATATGGTCAACATGCATGGTTTTCACACATGAAAAAGAAAAAGAAAACACTATTTACACACTTTTCGAACACTCTACCACAATTGCAATTATAATGTAGTTTACAATTAATATGATATACCTCAACATGTCCCTTATTTCTTAATTTCAGGCCATTTCCACTGCATTCTGCTACCAAAGCATCATTTTTAAACAAGGTTTTATTCTCACTCACGCTAGTGCTTGTCACAGGTTGCATTCAACTCACATAACTGACAAGCATCTCAGCGAGTCACATAATGATGCATTGTTCTGGAATTGTCTTGTGTGAGTTCTAAAGACACAGGCTATCTGGAGCGATGACTGTATCTAGCAGTCTTTGAATTCAGAATGTAAACACCATAGCCAATAGGTCTATGTTATAATGATCTCTTAGAGATCTACTGAATTGCTCTTAGACCAAACGTTGACCAAGAAAACTTTTATACTTTAAATTTATTGACTGTTCAGATGAAAATTAAGAAAACGTGTATTAACAAAGGTAGAAAAGTGATTTAACAGAACACCTTATAAATCATCTCTTGGCTATTGCTGATTAATACAAACCAGAGAAAACGTATAGACAACTTAGCCTTGGAAGAAAATGATTACATGAACCTAACATATTCCCTGGTGACTGTCTATTAGTTACCATTAAGTAACATATTCCCTGGTGACTGTCTATTAGTTACCATTAAGTAACATATTCCCTGGTGACTGTCTATTAGTTACCATTAAGTTCGAAGAAAAATCAAGAAAAAGAGATGTTTGCAATGACGAATGGACCTGTTAGGTGCTAGTTATACTAAAGATTGGACATATTAGCACCAAATTCACACAGCAACATACTGCCATATTTAGTCTTATCTGTTTAGAAATGAACTAATCATCCTGCCATGTAGAAGTTATTAGCAGTTATAATTATCGCCAGTTTAGTTTTACATGTATATGTATAATGCTGAACAATAAGCAGGGAATAACATATACCCGGCCTGGGGACAGCCTCACCTGGGCGAGCGTTCCAACAGTAAAACCAAACGTGAGGTGTTACCAAGCAAGGTTCTAAGAAATAAAAGGTATTTAGAAGTAGAAAGAAACTAGAAAATGTCTTTAAGACATAAATGCCCCCGCCGCCATGTGAAATTAGTTTCAGTGTTCTATAAAAAGTTACAACCACTTTGATCTTGATACCCTGAAACATGCACACACACAAGGTACTACACTTAAAGTTGATAAGTTGATTTTAATATTCATATGTTTTTTCTGTATGTTATTACCATCCTGAAACATAAGGATGTCAGAGGTATACCCATATCTGACCTTTATATAAAGTTTGACCGAAATCCGTGAAAGAATGAAGTTGCTAAGTGTTTAAATTGAATCAGTTGATGATTTTCTATATATAGCAACAGTGACCTTGGCCTTGACCTTGGAACCCTGAAACACAAGGATGTCAGAGGTATACCCATGTTTGACCTTTGTAGAAAGTTTGACCAAAATCTGTGAAAGAATGAAGTTGCTAAGTGTTTAAATTGAATCAGTTGATGATTTTCTATATATAGCAACAGTGACGCACGGGCAGGTGTTTACATTGAATCGGGACGCGACGGGACGAGATGGACATGGGCAACACTATATCCCCACCCCCCCCAAATTTTATGGAGGGTTGTACCTTTGTATAAAGTTTGACCAAAATCTGTCAAAGAATGTGACGTTGCTAAGTGTTTACATTGAATCGGGACGCGACGGAACGGGTGTTTACATTGAATCGGGACGAGACAGGACGGACATGGGCAACACTATATGCCCCTACATTTTATGGCGCCGGCATAATAAAAAGATCCTTAATATGGGTGCAGCAGATTTATTTGGCAGCTATTGTACCCCCAAGTAGAAGGCAAGTAAGAAACAAAGATAGACTTTAGTCTATTGCTGATCAATTTTCCTTGAGACTATAGTATATTGCTGTTTCTCATGATCGTTCATAAACAATCTATATTGCCTCAGGTTAATTGAGGCTTTGTTACAGGTGACCAAATATGTAACAGGTCTGAGATCCTCTATATCTTGGTTTTAATTTATATACCTTTTAAGTTTTTTAATTCCACTAGCACTGCTATATGTAGGGGAAGACACTGACTGTTGTAGGGATCCTTAGACAGCACCCTGCAGAAAAAAAAACAAGGAACAGAACAAAATAATGTCAGATACACCTCATCATAGTGCCTATCAGGCCATTCACAAACTGCAATTTAAGAAAACAAAAGTAAGTAAGGGAGATAACTAACACAAATGAAAACACATAAAAAATCTAATTTGTAAGGTATACGGCACATACCATAGATAAAAATCTAATTTGTAAGGTATATACACCAAATATAAAAAAATCTAATTTGTAAGGTATACATATAAACCATATAAACTTTATCTTGTATATTTTATATATCATACAGATTTTACACATGCATGATAACTATGCAGTTATTATATTGCAGAAGAAACTGATTAATATAAATTTGAAGGAATTACAGAATTTGACTTAATAGGTAGGGAGATTGACAAATGAGTCATCTTTACTTTTACACATATACCTAAAACACACCTCATGTTTTGACTGTTTCAAATTGTGACAGAGATATGATGATACACTTATCCCATTAGAAAGATGAATTCCCATTTAACGTAATGTGGGTTATCATTCCGAGAGTTTTTTGTATAGGTCACTGTATTAGCAGATGGTGTAATATGACAGCTTTTCATACAATTACTCATTGTCTGTTATAATGTCTGAACTGATAAATTAATCTGCTTGGGAAAATACTTACCTTGAAGTTATTTTATAACAATCTCTAAATTCACAATTGTAATAGTGTCGCTCTGCAAGGTTGACTACCACATCTAAATTTTCCTTGAGGGCACACAAAGAGTTGGGTACCGACTGATTCTGGGGCTTGTTGTACTGAAACGATCAAACATCGATGTTAGTCATATATGTTATCAAAAAACATTTCTGAAAAATAAAATATATACTTTTTTCACACAAGGGGCCTAAATGTACCGCCCAACTGATTTTTCAATGCTGTGACCTTTAAAGAATGTGAAAATCAAATTCATCTTGATAGCACTTCACCCAAGTATTCTTCCATCTAAATACCATTACCCTAAACCTCCGTGTTTTTCAGAAGAAATCGTTCAAAAGTTTAACACATCTGACTCAAGACTACCTCTGACCTTGAAAGTGGGTCAAGGTCATTCATACGAACAAACTTGATAGCCCTTCATTCCATATTGACAATGGCCAAATATCATCAACCAAACCTGTTAGTTACTCATTGGAAATTGTTAATATATCTGACTTCTACGACCATGAAAGTGGATCAAGATCATTTTCATTACAATCGGCCAAATACCATGATCCCGGGCCTGTTGGTCATTCAGAAAAAGTTGTCTAACAAGTTTAACTCTTGATTTTTCTTCTTCAAATATTATAGTATGCAACTTATGGACATACCTTTTTAACTTTATTTTCATACAAAAATCTGACAAGTTCCACTTCCTCTTCTGGGCATTGCAATGCAAATGGTAACGAATCAATCAACTCTCTTTCTGAAATTGAAAATATATTTTCGCTAGAAGAAATTAAAATTGATTTTTTTCTATGAGCAAGGTTTTGCACAATGAAGATACACATCTATATATTGGTTCTTGGGCTAGCTAAAACATCCCTTTACATTTTTTCACTTACAAATTTCAATAGAATAATTAAAGGGAGATCAAATTTGCTTTATATTGCATAAGCTTATATCATGATCAGTAGCTTGATTTTGAATTAATCCATTAGTATACAATTCAATTTCTACATTTGCTATCAGAAAAAGTTGGAGTTTGGCTTTTTGATCAGATATAATTTACATAATTATACATGTGCTTGTACATGTTATATATACTACTGTACTAATGACTTATGTATGATAAAGATTGAGTATCTGTTTTCGTCTCCTCTATGACTTTATCATTGTACCACTCCACTACCTATCCATCCTTGATATCCAGGGGTGTTTGATTGGTCTCAGGTAAAAACTAAAAACCTGACCAATCGATAGGCTGATACCTGTCCTTTGAAGATTACAAAGGGGCGACACCCGACTTCAAAGTCAGTCATTTTTTTACTGTTACGCGACTGCAAGATTATTTTGATGTACATCAAAGAATCAAACTAGTCTTCTTGTCTGATCAACAAGGTGGTGTGTACACAGTTCAATTCAAATTTGCTATGGCATATTCTAGGGGTGCAGAGAGCTAATGTGAGCGTAACCCCTGGATGTGTATATTGCTACCACTTGGTGGCAACACAGCCTTTTACTAGTCTTTCTTCTGACATGGAATAATTAGCCATTTCTTTTCTTGATTCACAACATATTAATAACACAGCACTTCAATATAGATTCTGAGTCACTGAGGAACATACCGTCAACAATGATTAAGTTTATTTTGTACATCAATTTCAACAGCATTCGCCTCATTTCAATTGTGTTTTTTATTCAAATCCAGACTGAACAGTGATTCGGAGTATTTTAAGATTGATGAATACATGTATTTATAAATTATTGTTTTGCCCTGAATAGCCCGAGTTTCCTCTGGCCCTAACACCAGACTTGGACATTTTGACATATAGATGTCTGGTGTGTCGCAAGAGCGCATTGCTATATATGAAAATGTGGAATTCTCCCGACACCATTTGGTATCCGGGAGTGGCTAATCAACAAAAATACACGGTCCGGAAATCTTCTAAACAAGAATAATATATTCAGTTTTCGGTCCAGATCAGTACGGTTTGTTGATTAGTCACCCCATGACCTACAAAAATGATGTTCGCTCAGGTGCGAAATTTTGAAAGATTGAAAATCGAGGACTCTACTGACAGAATTTAGCAGCTGTTGGTGATAAAAAGAGCTAATTTTGATCAATAAATAATCCATTTATCGATATCTGTGAGGTATGTGTTGTGTCATAGTAGATTTTTGTTGTCAGCACCTCATAACTCTCTGATACCAAATGGTGTCGGAGAATTCCAAGTTTTCATATAGCAGTGCGCTCTGGCCCCACACCAGACACCTATATGTCACAAATAACTCATGATGTCTAAGTCTAGTGTTTGGGCCAGAGGAAACTCGGGCTAAGCACAGAACAGCTAAATGATTCACAATGGATACCAGGTTACAGATGAGTTTTTTTTTTATTTTTAGATACTTTGCACATACTTTTTTTAAGCACACTCAAATCTTATAACACACTGGCACATCCAAAATATATGAAATAGAAAACTACATGCTTACTAAAATTGTGATCAGCCCAATTACAACTTAGCTCAACATTTCAAATGTGAAAAGATTTTAAATCAAATTACATTACACAGTTCTTGGAGTCGAAATTTTGTATCCATGACAGTACCACATATTACACCTTTATAAATATGCATAATAAATTCCTAAATTTTAGAGATAATTTCAGTTCATTCTCAAGTGTGTATCCAACCAATGACTGATTTGAAGGACAGACACAAAGATAAGAGATATATTTACAAAATCTTTTGAATTTTGAGTTTGTGATTTTTTGCAGTTTGTGTGGAACCATTAAACATGAGTAAGTATGTACTATGTAATTAAGCCAGCTCACAAGAATAAGGTAACCATCAGTGTTTATATCGACATAGACATGTGTGTATGTAAATGACTAATGCTATATTACACCACAGTTAAAGAGCAGAAAGAATCACTGTTCCTACCTTCCTGTGCTGACAACATGTGGTGGTTAACAAGAAGATCAAATGCCTCAAAGCAGTACACATCCTGACGTAGAGCCTCCCGGAAACATTCCACAGCCAGGTTCCTGTTGTCCATGGCTTCATAAATCTTGCCACGTAGGAGGTTTATAGAATGCTCCATTGGCTGAAATGATCATTCGAAAAATGTAGGAGGAGATTACCGGACAAAAATCAATTAATGAAATAAACAAAGGGCAATAACTTTTGCAAAAATTGTTGAATCATTCTTTTTAGGGAGACACAACTTCATATCATGACTATAATGTATACCGAGTTTCAAAGAGATCGTTCGAAAAATGTAGGAGGAGATTGCCGGACAAACAAAAGTTTATGCCGACGGACGGACAAACCCATACCATAATACTCCCGTCAGTTTTGACGGGCGTATAAAAAATGGAATCATGACCGACATAGACTACAACAACCCACCAAGTGAGCCCCAAGCATCTGCCATGCCTCGTCAGGCAACACAGAAAACAAATAATATAACTATCCGACAAATTCCGGTTTTCATTTGTTTCAGATCTTATGAATTTTCCAAACAAAATTTGCCAGTGCCTAAGTATCCAGAAACATCAACTTCATACTAACCTATTCACCTTAGCCATTAAACAGCAAAGTATTTTTTCTTTCATTATTTTTTTTTAAAAACATTTTTGATTTTGTATACACTGCTTGGGCTACAAAAAGTGCTTACCTCTTTGTTATTGGTGTCAATGTGAGATTCACTAAGGCAAGGTGCAAAAGATCGCAGTTTGTTGTTGTCAACCATGTCTAGGATGTTTAACGATTCCTGCCATTCTTTACATTCATACTGCAAAAAAGGACAATTACTAAACATTGTGTAGGTATTACAAAACATAGGCTTTATATATATATTGATTATTGCATATGAAATTTTGTGAATTTGTATCCAGAACTTGCCAGATATTTTAACAACTGGTAAAGAAAAACAGCATTTACTAAGAGCAGTTTTAATATCTGTTGTTCTGAAGCTTAGAAAAATATATTTAACAGACAAAAGAAATTGTACTTATTTGTACCCTTTTGTGTATAAGATGATATTCCACATTTGCTATTGTTTTCTATTGAAAGAGAGTGAAACTAAATCTGGGATTTATTAGACATCTTGTACAAAGCTTTTTGCTTCAAAAGTTGGTAAAGTATGACACTTTAACCTAGACGTAAGACCATCTGACTATAATCAGAATTAGATCTTCAATGTTCATGAGATAACGTGAAAAATGGCCCTTTTGATGAGTATGGGAGCCTCAATTAAGATTTACACAAATTTGTATGGGCACACAGACAAAGAGCACTATATGTAAGGGGTTTAATGGGGATCATCCTTCAACTCAGGGTAAATCCCCAACCAGTAGTTCACAGTGTTTCCTTAGATCTTTGCAATGTAATGGCGAAGATGTGAAGAATTTGTAGCTAATTATTTAACTTCTCCATAAAGTTTATACACTTACATGGCAAAGACCTGCAAGGTATCTACATGCTGAATTCGTCTGAAAAATAAAATAAAATATTTGAACAAATACATCTAGTCATAATTTTTAGTGACCTATTGATTTGGTTTGTATATATAACATTATGATAACTGTGTTTTCTCTTACTTTTCTGAAATAAAAATTCCTTAATATTCAATTCATTCTTTGAAGAGAAAATATAAGATATATAAAATCTGAACAACAGAGATGAATTTGAAATGAAACATACTTTGAAATATTCACTCCCGGACTTCGTACCAAAATGTGCATCAGTTATAAATATAACCCAACTCATAAGTTTTATCAACTCTTTCCATATTTTGCATCATTTTCAGTGTACAGTCAATAATTATATTAAGAATTAAGTTTCCTTCAAAGCAAAGTTCTGCATAAATTAACCTTTATATGTTAGTTTTCATGATCACTTCAGTATAACATGTAATTAAATTGCATAGAACTGCAATACGATCAAACTGCCATCGTGATATCACACCATATTGTGGCATTCAAACAAAAAGGGCATATTTTCCAAGTTTAGACATTTTATAAACAGATAATTAAAAATCAAACCTTATTATGTCACTACCCATTGACCTCAGTTTCGGGTCGATCATATGTCATAATTATTATAATATCCAGATTCCTCATATGAGCTAATGCGTACATCTGCATTAGAGCATCATCCCATGATTGTTGAGAAAGACAAATAGGTATTAATCATTCACAAGCAATAAGTGACATCATTTCCTCACCAGAAGGACACAGCTAGGTTACATGCAAGAAGTTGATTTAAGTATTAATAATTTCCTGAATAATATGTGAAACATTCTGCTGGATGGGCAGGTAGAGGAGGGTGTGAGTCCAGTTTAGTCACCTTTTTTTGAAACCATATAATAGAATACAAAGGATATAGCTATTCTTTCCCTGAACAACTTACAGGGACACATGACAAGGTTATATACCACCCCAGTTACAGACGAGATTGTTATATAAAGGTGAAGACAGCTCCAGGACTGACCTTGTCCAGTTTAGCTGTTCGCAGCAGCTTTGAAGCCCGGTGGTACTGCCCTGTCTGGTACAGAGTCTGGGCATACCAGTATACATCATCCACGTCACCTGTTGAATTCCAAGGATAGAATTATAAGCAACATATATGTATAATATTAGGCTAATGAGGTAAGTGAGAGATTTTATTTTGTGTATTACAACTGCAGACACCTTTCTATATGTTTTTCAATGTAAGCAATATTCAAGTCAGGGTCAATGTTTTGAATATATGCTTTTGTATTAATTCCAGTTAATGAAACTGTGATTGCATGAAAAAAAAATGTTAGATTCCAATTAAAACATTTTGATTTCAATCAATGCTTTAAACTTTACCATTTGAAAGAGAGACAATCTTGTCAGCCCAGAACAGTGCTGAGTCATAATGGTGCTGAAAAGAAAATAAAAGTTGTATATAATATTCAACGACTAATCAACCATCTATAATAAAATTACTTCAAATACAAGGAGACATTTTCAAAAATTGATACAAGGAAACATTTTCAAAATTTGATGAACTTATCTGGGGCAAACACTTAAATATCTAATTATCATATTTTGCAGTTACTATCTAAATATATTTTTACAAAAATTGTAACAAGACAAAATTTTCAATAATGAAACTACTAGATATAGTGTACATGTAGGAGCTTTCAGATTCAGGGGTTGCCCCGAATGAAGCACAAGGTCCTGTATATTTTTTTAATATTAGCAATATCTGTAATATGAGAATCCAATTTTTAATTATTATTTTTTTGTTATGCTCAAATATTTTGCTTTATCAGTGTGTTCCAGGCAATCACCACAAAGAATGTACATGTAGGTATACCCAAGTTTATAATTATTATAAGGTTTTAGAATGTGTATAAACACCGGATAAAACCGAAGTTATCACATTTTTCGTCATATACAATGTATTACTCAACCGAGCCCCTGTGAGGGGCATATTACAGCCTCCCCCGACTGGTACATATTGACTAAGAACAGAACTGCCAGTGCCATTATATGAAGCATTTTTTTCAAATGTGTATACGCATACTGCAGTGGCTGACGAAATTTTAATGTCTCATCTTTGGAGGTCTAGTTGCTGCCTCGATCTTTAGTACATCACAGACACAGCTCAAAAACTCTCAACCTTCGCTTCGTAAAACAGCGGACCTGGTGATGAATAAGACAATTAAAATTGTTTGAATATATCAACATTTTGAGATAACTTACTGTGTCTATGTAATTTCGAACTTTCTCTCTCAATTTTGTAAGATCAAAGCTACATGTGGGATTTTGCTTCTCGTCAGCTTCTGAATTTCCCCCTTCGCCCGCCATGTTTTCTATTTTACATACTTCCGGTTTACTTGTCCAATAAACGATTCTGTTATAAACCATTTCATACTGATGATGTTAGATGAAATATGATTGGCTTAAACCAGACCCCGGCTCATGGTAACGTTGACATAAACAATATGGAAGTTGGATATATTATGATTTGCCGAACAACTGACATGTGAGCGATTATATATATATTCCAGGATAGCTACTGAATACACAGTGTAAGTAACATACGATGGCATATCATTTGCGATATGTCCATTTACTATTGTGAAGACGCTCTCGTCCAATCTCTAGACCTGTGTGGTAAAAGTAAACATGACAATTTTGAATTTGAGTTTTCATATTGCAATGTATTGGTTCATTAAAGTAGGCCTAATGCATTTTAACAAAATAGGAAGCCTCCGATTTGTTGGTGGATGCAATGCATGATTAAATATTGTTCCTTCTGTCCATTTACCAGAGACTCATTTAATACATGGGTTTGAATTCCGGTCTCACCGCGTTGTGCATTTCCCATGTCCTGGTATGAAGAATTCAAAATTGTGCTTGAATTGCAACACAGTTACTACTAAAAAAGTCAAGAACTGCTAGTGTGATGATACATGATACGGTACATTTAAGCCCTGTAGCTATCCCATATTCTTAACACCAAACTAAATTATAAAGTTAAAAAATAGTTACAGTCAGATACTGGAGCACCATATATATCTGGCTATATATAAGCAGATTTGGCTATGATAGTCAATTATGACCTATACCTATATAGGACGAATGTTCAAGTTCAAGTTCTTTATTAACTTTAAGTCTTGCAACTTATCAGTCACAGTGTAAACATTTTGGAAATGGTGAAATAAAAGATTGTTGCACGATTAGATGATTTTAATTGATTTGGTGAATTTCCATCATTGCATTTTTCCACTGTCGACATGTGTCCCTTATTTTTATAAAAGTATAGCATGTGTCTATTCAATATGGCGTCCGTGTCTTTCAGAAGATATCCCAAAGATGCAGATTTGTGCGTCGGGTACGTGTGCTTACGGAAGATTCTTCAGAGTAGGGATGTATAACATGCAGTGAAAGTTGTTCACTTGCCGATAGGGAGTGAAATATTTGGTGTTTTGGTACAGAAATTGTTTATATTCCTGTGTAACCATACCAGAGCGGGTAAAAGATGCTAGTACATCTAGAAATAAAATTGCAATGATGAAAATCAACAAAGTCACCAGAATTTGAGTTATTAGATAAAAATGTTTTGTATCGCCAAATCACCTGAGCTGCTTGTCAATCAAATTTTGTTCACCTGCATCCATTTGTGGATATGTTCCCAATCTATAGTTTCCATCAGTTTACATATGACCGAGGTCAAACTGACAGGACGATATATAACTACCAGGCTTTCATTTTGTCTCCCCTTATGTATATAATTTAACGAGGATAATTATCTTTATTCCAGCCATACAGTATATATTCCCCCAAAGAATTGCCGCTTAAACTATCTTACACACATTTGATATTTTTTTAATTATTATTTGTTGCTTGTCTGTTTCAGGACATAATGTCATCTGATGATATCTATGCCGACCAGGCCAAACATCTGGTGGATGAGGTCATTGATCATGCCATTAAAAGATTGGAGACCAGCCTTTCCTTAAATGAAAGGGAAAAAACTTTTGAATCTATTCGTATTTCATCAGAGGTTAATTCCAGGCAATCTACTTTCGTCAAAGAAGAAAACTATGAAGTGAAAGACGTGAAATGGTTAACTATTGATGAATTTACTGAAGAAAAGGCGGAACAGAAAATCCATGACTTTATCAAGGTAGTCATGTTATTTTAATCATATACAGTAAAATTTGGAATATTTGTATGTGGAAATGTTGTCATTGTGGCTCTTTAGGATATGGAAATTTTAAGTGTACTGACAACAGATTTGAAATCTACATAGTCAATAAAATATACAATGTGACTCGATGTTAATTTAATGTCAGGAAATTAATTTTCCTGGCTTTGTTTTTAGTCAAATATAGATGGAATTCAGCACACAGCTAAAACTTTGGTTACCACTTCTACTGATAATATTAATACAATGATCTGTTTCCTAGACTTAAATTCTTACCATGATGAGTTAATTAGCTAAAACATTTTTTTACAGCAAAAATTAACCTTGTTCCTATTGGAATTACGTAATTCATGATAATTTTTATTGTGCTATCCTCTAAAATATAACTTATATGTTAGATGAAAAGTAATATCTCATTAACAGAGCCATAGATAATAATATTAAACATTACCAGAGGAAACATTTAATAATTCTCTAACAGGATGTTAAGACTTAAAATATCAAAATTGGATGTCAAACGTAATAAGTCAAATAATTTAAAATATATAAATTAACATAAAGAATCCAATATGAAAACATCGTAACATGAAAGACATATGACACGTGACTGTGTATTGTCATAAGGATATTTTGTGCTAATTTACTAAATGGGAAAGATGAACTGTTATTTTCATACCATTATGATTTACACTTTTAACAATAGTAAGAAGCTTATGATCTTTCAGTTGGATTTAACCACTTTAATATACATGTCAATATTCTAAAAATATGTTTTAAATTCAAACTTTTATTAGTAACAAGAGGCAACAGACAATCCTTAATTACTTGTATAAAGAGTCCCCTCCGAATTGGCTGCCATTAATGTTGATAAGACCAAACTGATACAGATATCATAATATTTTACTCAGTTTCTCTGACTCCTATATTTAATGCTAAATAACTTTGTATATGATTAGCCCAAGTTTCCTCTGGCCCTAACACCAGACTTAGACATTTTGACATATAGATGTCTGGTGTGGTGTGGTGTGGAATGTCAAAATGTCTAAGTCTGGCGTTAGGGCCAGAGGAAACTCGGGCTATATGTATATGATATGTCTAAAAAGAGCAGGAATTTTTGGTGTAAATGATAGGATTTCTTTTGTCGTTTTAGACGTGGCAATATGAGAACAGCTGGCAGTACTGTATAGACTTCCTTGGTGAGGATCCACATGATTATGACACACGGTACCGATTTCGAGTTCGGTGGAGCATTCCTACACGAAGAAAACCAATTCCTCGTGCCACCGCATGTGTATACTTCTCATTTGTCGTGTCAACTATTAAACCAAAAGTAAGTTAAGTTGAGTCATGCTAAGGTATCTATAAAACACAACATTCTCTGCTGGTCAATTTCCTTTAAAACAAAAATGTAAAATTTAGTTTCCTGTCCAGTGTTGCACAATGCCAATTAATAATTCACGATATGATGAATAATACAGATCAGAAAAATTGTTTGTTTTATCAGGAATACATATATGTTTAATTTCTTTCTGAAATACTTTAAAACATGTATATACACACTGTACATGATGTATATATATATGCTCAGTTTCATAATTTATTAGGTTTCTTAATCATTATTTTACATTTAATTTTACTATGCAGATGGGAGTTAGTTTGTATTTATTCTAGTTAGATAGTTGAATGTCAATTTATATCACAGTGTCATGTATATTGTTTTTTATATTAATAAGTCGCCAATTAGTTATATATTGATGTTATTTTTATCCTTTTTATTTCAGCATTACCCTGTTGATGTGTTGTTTGTCTTTGAAGGAAACAGACTTGTACACAAGTAAGTTAGATTGATATTTCTCTTATCTCTATGTGATCATATACATGTACATGAAGGAGGCACAGTAGGACGCCGGGCTTGTGACCAAGGGGTTGCGGGTTCGAGTCATGTCACGGCACTGTGTTGTATCTTTGAACAAGATACTTTACTCCACTTGTTCCAGTCTACTCAGCTCTAAATGAGTATGTGGTTAAGCAGTGCTAGAATTGTTGAATACTAGCTGTGAGCGCTGAAAAGGCAGCACCAGCTGTATGCTCCCCGGGGAGTTGAGGAATTGATTGACTGGTTGTAAAGGCCCTATAACCACAGATAATAATTTGTGATCGGCTTTGAGACAACCTACGAAATAGGTTGTGATAAAGCGGTATATAAGAACCTCAAATCATTAAGTATTTTATACCTGTATGATAAGTTAAAAACAAATTTATGTTGTGGTTCTGTCAGTTTTTATCGATGAAAAATTATATAGACAAAGATTGAAACACAATGTATAAAAAAAAGAGTGACAAAAACTTATTATTGCTTCTCCCTCCCTCCCCCGATCAGCTGTTCAAAGTACACATTTTTCCCCAGATCATTTCTCAAAATAACATACAGATTTTCAAATTCATACTTTATGCATGAATCAACCTCTGTGCAGAAGGGTGCCTTTTTGGTATTTTTGGGAATGTGATTTCTAACACTTTCCATTTGTTACAGAAATGGCGACCAAAATATGTACAAAATTGTAATATATTTTGGTGCACATTTCTATTTCCATAAAAGCATTTATTTATATCTCCAAAATTGTTTCTGATCTTCAAACTTACAAGTCAATCCCATCTGAGAGGGATGCTTTTTCCAGTCTTTACATTTTCTGAATTAGTTATTTTGAAGTTATTTCAGAGATCTTATTTTTAAGTTATTTCAGTAATTTCACAGGAATCTTATTTTGAAGTTATTTCAAAACAAACTTTTAATTAGCCCAAAAGACACCCTAAGTGACTCTAGTTTTTACCTCTTAAAGTTTTGACCTTACAACTTTATCTCACTCGAATGCATTCATACATCCTATTCAAATGGACTGAAAAGTGTAAGCGTCTAAAATATAACACCTCTCTCTCTCTATTTCATAGGTGGGTAAAAACCAAATTTAAATGTCAGATTATGATAAAGACTTAAAAATGTAATGAAAATCGAATACAATCTGGTCTGAATAACTATATATGATTGTTTTTTTGTAATATTTTAAATTGTACATTTTCTTTTGGCATTACCAAATATATTTTCACTTAAACAAAAGGATCAGTTGGAGATATTGATTGCTTATGTCATTTACTACCGCTACAGACTTTACTGATTGTAATTGGTCTAATTTTGGGTATAGTTTGTTTGAGTTATTAGGGCTTGAGTGTATGTATGAAAAGTTATTAGGCTGAATGATCATATGCTAAATTTTGATTGTTTTTTACAGGCCTGGACAGAGCAGATTCCGCGAAAAATGGCTGAAAGACATTATTGAAAGCAAAGTGATGATGATGCAGATGGTTGAATTTTAGGAAACTTGTTATTCACCGGGATGTCATACACAACAATCATGTTTTTAAAATGTTGAAGGGATTTGTAAGGAAATGTGAAAAGAGTGAATGATAAACAGTTTACATTTTTGTCTAAAAAAATCCAGAAACTTTGGAAAACAAGGTTTAGGAAGAGTTGTCCTTCTTTGACCTGCGTCAAAATGACAAGTTCCTCCGCAAAATGTTCAGTCGGATTTTTATAATTATGAAACTACCTATACCAGGGTTGCCAACCTCTTAGGAGTCCAGTGTGGGAGATCTCCCTCCACTGGGTTTTACAATGTGTGAGACTTTTGACGGCGTCGCGGCGTAACGTTGTTTTGGGTGTTAAGATAACATTTACAAATGTATGGAACAAATCCTGGCTTTCTCTGACTACTATAACATCTGCATTGTTGATATTTTCACTTCAAGATCTTTGTAGGAAAATAAAACAAAACATTTTTTGCAGATATATAAAAGATTTTTATTTATCACACAAAAAAAACTGACATCAGAAATGCAACACATTATATAATCAAAGGCCTTTCTTGTAACGATTCCACCCTTGGCTAGAACAGGTACCAGTCTTTTTAGGCTATACCATCATACAATTAATGTCCTTATGTATACTTCTTGAAGTATGGTTAGATAAGTCTTAAGCTACTGTGATAGTATGCCATATCAAAATGGTGTGTTACATTGTAAATAGATATGAATATTATATTCATTAAAATGTTGTACATGTATTTGCTATATTGTCATTTGTCCGTCATCATCTTAATTAAAAGGATGTTAGCACAAATTTATAATGGTTTTAAAAATACATCTCACAAGTACCAGTGGGCCTTTTGAATAAAGTAAAGGAAATACTTATATGCATTGATTATTTCATATCAATCAATATCACTGTGGGTCATGTCAGAGACGTATAATAATGTATTATACGTCTCTGGTCATGTGTAGACCATATATGGACAACACACCCGAGACAATATCTTACACTGAGGTATCGGACATATCACTCTGTGACCAATACCCGATCAGCGTGGTTAAAACGCTCAGTAAAAGGAGACAAACGAACAAAAGACCATAAAAAACAACGTTTATGAGTCCAACTATATCAATGACATTGAAATTATTCCACGTCATCTCAGGCATTTGATTGTATAGATGACATAGTTACTGGGTTTCAGGACTTGTTTTTAGATATTGTAAATAAACATGCCCCATTTGGAGAAAAGCGCGTGAGCTACAACACAATTCTATGGTGGAGCAATGGGATTAATATTGCCATTCTTATAGGAAACAAGAATAATCTAGATTGTAATGTGGAATTTTACAGGAAATGAAGAAACAAAGTTATACATATATGATTAGAAATGCTAAAACAACTATTATTTTTCAGAAGTCTTAGACCAATGTAAAAATTCTAGTCAGGATTACTGGAAACATTTTAAAAGGTTGTGTCCAAAAAAGTTAAAGATCATCTCCAACATTCAATACAGATTCTAATGAGATAAGTAATGTTTTTTGACCAGTTTTTCACAAACATCTCTAAACAGTATAGTGGCGGATCCAGATACCTACATGTATCTGGAGGGGATACTAAATGTCCAGAGGGGGGTTTCCATGTGGAGAAAAATTGAGGAAAATGGTGAAAATACATGATTTGTGTAGAAAATTCTCGGGGTTGGGGGGTTTCCTAAAGCCTCAAAAAACCTCTGGATCCCCCACTGCAGTATGTGAATGATGCAGAGGAAAATTGCTCCTCTGAAACTATGTTGATTCTCAAAAAAATCACAGAAGGAAAACTCGGAGATAACTTTGATATACCAAAAATTGAAGTAATATTTGTTGATTTTTTTTTAAAAAAAACATAGATTCCACGAAAGCAACAGGCCTCGACAAGATTGATGCACAATTTTGAAATGATACGCCAAAACAATTGCACCGATACTTTGTAGACTAATGAACTTCGATCTTGTAGAACACACTATTTTACTTCATAAATTTAGTTTGTACGGCTGTTCTACAGATACCATGACATTTTTTTTCAAAGATTGTTTTCAGACAGTTGACTTCAAAAAAGCCTTAAATGATCCTCAACGCCTCACAGTCGGTGTCGCTCAGTGATCAATCCTAGGGCCTTTAATGTTCATCATGCACGTGAATGATTTACCGCTCGTCACAAGAACGCATCAACGAATCTGTAGGCTAATGACACGGCCGCTCACAGATCGTACAGCTGTTGATATTATCAATACAAACTTAAACGAAAATGCCAATCACATTCAGAAATGGTGTGATGATAACAAAATGTTTATTAACACAAAGAAGACAAAGGCCATGTTAGTTTGGACATCTCAAAGAAAACGTAGACAAAATGAGCAACTGTCAGTTTTTATCAATAGTGAAAAATTCATCGGAGTTACAATAGATGGCTGGTTAACATGGGACAAACAAATTGCAGATATCTTTTTTTATCTTTTCCAATTTTCCAAATGAGACGCATTCGACCGTTTTTAACCGAGTCATCTTGTATCATATTCTACAGTTGCTTTATTAATTTTCACTCCGATTATTGTTAAAATATTTCGGGAAATGCCTAACATAACCAAATTGCAAAAATTGAAAAACTTCAAAAACGCGCTGCCAGAGTTAAATTGAAATGTGATTTGTTTTCGACTTCCATGGAAATGTTCATCAAACTCAAATGATTGCCTTTCGTATATCGTGTTACAAGTTATTTCCATATCACCATGATTTCACACCAAAGAGTCGCTAATGTCTTTCCATAGATGATATCTTTAGCTCTATATTTATTTCTTTAATTTTAGCCTACCATCATCTTTGATTTTGATATTAAAAGTTTGTTATCAGTATTTCGCGGGAAGTATCAGAGGGATTTTTCTCACATTTTATATGTAGGTTCCCCTTGGTCATTAGCTGTGCAGGGCAACTTTTGAGACTGATCGGATAAACAACATGGCCGACAGGCAGCCATCTTGGATTTTGATAGTGTAGGTTTGTTATCGCTATTTCTCGGGAAGTACCAGAGGGATCTTTCTCAAATTTTATATGTAGGTTCCCCTTGATCTCTCGTTGTACATGTTATATTTTGAGACAGATCATAAAAACAACATGGATTAAAAGAAGAACTAAACAGATCTTTCTCATATTGCAATGATCGATTCTATTTCTCTCACATTAAGTACTGTACAAGTAAATATGTGAAATGACAAACTCAGTTTGAAGGTTGGCTTTCATACACATCAGTATTAAGTTTAGATCAAAAGTTACCTCAAGGTGCATTTGCTGTTGACATGACTCGATCAAACAGATTAGAGGAAAGAATAGAAAAGATCGAACTGACAAAGAACTAATGAAAATGGTACAAAGATGGGCGCCAAGATCCCTCTGGGATCTCTTGTTAGCTTTGTGACAACTGTTCTCTCCTCATCCTACAATCTCTATCAAACCAGGACTGTTCTTGGGTTTACTGTAATGTTACCTCTTACATGTTATAGAATCACTGGATGAATTTATACCAGTGACAGTGATCGTCAATACCAGTGACAGTGATCGTCAATACCAGTGACAGTGATCGTCAATACCAGTGACAGTGATCATGACCAAGTGATCGTCAATACCAGTGACAGTGATCGTCAATACCAGTGACAGTGATCGTCAATACCAGTGACAGTGATCATGACCACAGTGATCGTCAATATCAGTGACAGTGATCATGACCACAGTGATCATGATCGTCAATACCAGTGACAGTGATCGTCAATACCAGTAACAGTAATCATGACCGTCAATACCAGTGACAGTGATCGTCAATACCAGTGACAGTGATCATGACCACAGTGATCGTCACTGGTTATGTATTAGCAAGACATGATTTATATTGTCATCGATGCCTGTAATATAAGATCTGAAGCCACAGTGTTGTCTCGGCAAGGGTTTCACATTCTCCTGTCTTATTATCGGTGTCAGTATTTGACGTACCATTACGGTTGGTTTAACTGAATTCTGTTTGGACGTGGTGTGTTGTGTTTTAACCATCCTCGACACTCCAGGGGGTACTCTCACTTTCGCTCTCTGCACCCCTAGAGCAATGTCATAACAGACTCAAAGGCACGCGGCCAGACACTTGATTGGTCTTGGGTAAAGATACCTGTTCTATCGCTAGTATGATACCTGTCTTTTTTAAGATTACAGTGGAGCGACATCCGACTTCAAACCAGTCAATTTTACCGTGTTGTACGCTACCGAGGGATTATTTTAATGTACATCTCATCCACAAGGTGGCACACACAGAGCCTTCAATTTTTCATGACATATTCCAGAGGCGCAGAGAGCGAAAGTAAGAGTAACCCCTGGAGTGTCGAGGATATGTGTTGACTTGTGTAGTAATGATTAAGACGCATTGACAACGTCAGTCGTTTGAAGCAAAACGACATTAAAATAGACGTTTATAAAGAGAATGCAAAAACGAAAACAAAAACATAAAAAGCAAACGAAATGGTTGTAAAACATGATATTATATCTTTCTGTATAAATAATCATGTATTGATTACACAGAAACTGTACCAAACAAACTTTTCATTACTCTTGAATGACATTTGCGTACAACCAGGGGCATATACAGTAGTATATACGTCTATCTCGGCAGACACCTCTGCTTATTGCAATAACAAACATGACGTTGAATTGAAAGTCACTTATCAATTTCTTCGAGTTATTTATATGGCCAATCCGATTTAATCAAATTTGCTCTGAATATTTAAAATCGGAGTAATCGACATGACCGTGTAACCAGATTAACATCAAGCGACAGGACATTAGTATCACTTTAATACCAAGGATAATGTTCTGTATGAGACTATTCTAATATTCAAAACTTTGCAGTAAGGACAGCGAGTCAGAGCAGATTATTGCTCTTTTCATATAATTGTTTTCAATTTTATCCAAAACACTACTTGGTAAACCAATTTTCAAGGAGTTTTGCAGTCGTATACCGAAAAATCGATTTGATTTCTCAATTCATTCGAAACGATAGTATAATTTGGATAAAATGCCGGCTAAAAAGCTAGGATTTTTTGATTCGATATGAATTGGAAAGCAAACTGTAGAGATAATTTTAGAGTATGTAAAAGAGAAAATTAACTGATGTAAGTCCTGAGTTTGGTACGTTGTCGTAACAGTCGATCAATGTTGATTTCTTCATTGTCCCATTGGAAGGAGTTCTGCTTTAGTCGCTTCCTGCAATAACATACAGAGATACACATCAGGACAATTCTTTCCCAAACTTTGCACAGGTGTTATAAGTTCCAAAGTAGGTAAAACACCATTTTTAGAGATCACGTGATGGTCAAGCGAAGGTGGGCGGTGCTTCTCGTGTGGTGATTTAAAAAAACAAATCCATATTTCTAGGACATATTTCTTTTAAGTGTTTGCTGTCAACGATGCACAAGAGACTAAGGACGAACTTGATTCTGGCGTGCCAGTATTGCCGCCACTACAACTTGATTCTGGCGTGCCAGTATTGCCGGCACTACAACTTGATTCTGGCGTGCCAGTATTGACGGCACTACAACTTGATTCTGGCGTGCCATTATTGCCGGCACCACAACTTGATTTTGGCGTGTCAGTATTGCCGGCACTACAACATGATTCTGGCGTGCCAGTATTGCCTGCACCACAACTTGATTTTGGCGTGTCATTATTGCCGGCACCACAACAAGATTCTGGCGTGCCAGTATTGCCGGCACTACACCTTGATTCTGGCGTGCCAGTATTGCCGACACCACAACTTGATTTTGGCGTGCCAGTATTGCCGGCACTACAACTTGCTTCTGGCGTGCCAGTATTGCCGGCACTACACCTTGATTCTGGCGTGTCAGTATTGCCGGCATTACAACTTGATTCTGGCGTGTCAGTATTGCCGGCACCACAACTTGTTTCTGACGTGCCAGTATTGCCGGCACTGCAACTTGATTCTGGCGTGTCAGTATTGCCGGCACCGCAACTTGATTCTGACATGCCAGTATTGCCGGCACTACAACTTGATTATGGCGTGTCAGTTTCGCCGCCACCACAACTTGATTCTGGCGTGCAAGTATTGCCGGCACTTCAACTTGATTCTGGCGTGCCAGTATTGCCGGCACTACAACTTGATTATGGCGTGTCAGTTTCGCCGGCACCACAACTTGATTCTGGCGTGCCAGTATTTTCGGCACCACAACTTGATTCTTGCGTGCCAGTATTGCCGGCACCACAACTTGATTCTGGCGTGCCAGTATTGCCGGCACCACAATTTAATTCTGGCGTGCCAGTATTGCCGGCACTACAACTTGATTCTGGCGTGCTAGTATCGCCGGCACTACAACTTGATTCTTGCGTGTCAGTATTGCCGGCACCACAACTTGATTCTGGCGTGCCAGTATGGCACTACAACTTGATGCTGGCGTGTCAGTATTGCCGGCACCACAATTTAATTCTGGTGTGCCAGTATTGCCGGCACCACAACTTGATTCTGGCGTGCCAGTATGGCACTACAACTAGATGCTGGCGTGTCAGTATTGCCGGCACCACCACTTGATTCTGGCGTGCCAGTATTGCCGGTACTACAATTTGATTCTGGCGTGTCAGTATTTCCGGCACCACAACCTGATTCTGGCGTGCCAGTATTGCCGGCAACACAACTTGATTCTGGCGTGCCAGTATTGCCGGCACTACAACTTGATTCTGGCGTGCCAGTATTGCCGGCACCAAAACTTGATTCTGGCGTGTCAGTATTGCCGGCACCACAACTTGATTCTGGCGTGCCATTATTGCCGGCACCACAACTTGATTCTGGTGTGCCAGTATTGCCGGCACTACAACTTGATTCTGGCGGGCCAGTATTGCCGGCACCACAACTTGATTCTGGCGTGTCAGTATTGCCGGCACTAAAACTTCATTCTGGCGTGCCAGTATTGCCGGTTACCGACGGTACTACAACTTGATGATGTCCCTTAAATGCGCGAGCAAGTTCGGCACGTGCCGTTGGACAAGAAGTTTCGCCGGACTGGAGAGACAGGTAGAGTGGTACACAAAATGGCGACTAATGAATTGGAATGGTAAGAATAATATAAGAATTCAAAAAATATATCTTATTATAAAAAGGTCAGGGTAAATGAGATATTTAATTTTGAACATACTTGATGTTTAATAGTTTAATACTTAAGATACCGAAAACACTCTTTGGGTGTCGCCTAAATGACGTACTCCGGTAGCACCTACCATATACTTGCACTATTCACACGTGCACAGTCCCATTTTCATGTGCAAAGAATACAAGAGGTCCATTGGACCTGTATCGCTCACCTGGTTTTATATTTAAGTCATTACAACTGAATGCATTAGTACATCTTTATATGAAATTTCCTCAAAACCAGACAAAATCTATGTTCTTACCCAACTGGGACCACAATATCTGACTTTCAACTAATCAGAGGCCTCCATTGAGTTGCAATGTTGACAGATTTTGAAATAATTAATATGTCATATTACAGGGTGTAATTAGACAATACTTTGATTTTCATTCAACTATAAGCTTTTATAAACCTAGAGACCAATTTTTAACAATTTATGAAAACTACACCATAGAATATGATAATCTATTATCTGACTGTACCATTTCTTAGGACCGCAGGGGTCAAATCAACCTCATTCAATTAAGAAATGTTTGTTCTTTATCAATAATGTTTTTGACCAAATTTTGTACAATCCACTTAGGCAATTAGGGGATATTAGCGTCTTAAAGCAAAATATGAGATAATTTTCCTCTTTGGGGCTCGGTCTTCCTAGCCCCAGGGGTCAAATATCAAACCAGTCCCATTTATTTAGGAAATTATTGGTTGAAATCCTCTCTGGCGTTAAGCAGGAGCTGTGTTTTAAAGCAAATTTAGTTCAGGGCCCCGCCCCCCTGGCCTCAGGGGTCAAACCAACCTCATTTATTTAAGAAATGATTGCCCATCCCTACTGATGCCTCAAACTAAATTTGGTTAAAATCCTCTCTGTTGTTTAGGATGAGATGCGTTTTAAAGCAAATTTAGCTAAGTTCCCCTTCAGGGCCCTGCCCCCCTGGCCTCAGGGGTCGAACCAACCTCATTTATTTAAGAAATGATTGCCCACCCCTACTGATGCCTCAAACTAAATTTGGTTAAAATCCTCTCTGTTGTTTAGGAGGGGATGCGTTTTAAAGCAAATTTAGCTAAGTTCCCCTTCAGGGCCCTGCCCCCCTGGCCTCATTTATTTAAGAAATGTTTGCCCTCCCCAAGTGACGCTTCAGACCAAATTTGGTTGAAATCCTCTTTTGCGTTTAGGAGGAGATAGGGTTTAAAGAAAAAGTTGACGACGGACGACGACGACGGACGACGGACGACGGACGCTGCGCCACGGAATAAGCTCACTATGGTCCTTCGGACCATGTGAGCTTAAAATTAGATGAATGTCAATATAGCTATATCCCCTTTTTTAGAAAAAGTATTGATGTTTTGGGAGGATTTGATTTATAACAAATACAGTCTATTCCGTCTTTTCGTATTGCATAGTTATCTGATCTTGTGAGCAGGTATTAATTGTTACGTCATTTGTTTGTGAGAGTAACGTCATAATCTTTTGAGAAAATGACGTAATTTAATGTTCTCGCACAAACTAATAACGTAACAATCAATACCTGTTCACAAGAGCAGATAACTCTGCAATACGAAAAAACGCAATATCAAACATAAGATTTCTTTTTTCAATTTCATGCCGGTATGAACGCAAAGACATTACATACATATTCTCTAGGACTACATGGTAAATATGTATGTAACCGATTTGTGTTCATGCCGGCATGAACATTGAAGAAATTCCGTTCAATCCTTATATTTACATTCTAAATTTTTACTTATCATTGAGCTGAATATAGATATTCCCTTATATTTCCGATATTGAAGTGTTTATGTCGTCAGTGCAAGCGAGAGTCCTGTAACAGCCTTACGTCATCAAATTGTTTGCCTCTAGTGGTTGTCTAGTGTTAATCGAGGCGGGAGGAGAAGCTCCGAAACGACGCCGATCCAATTGCTATGAACGCAATTTCTTATGTTAGTGTGCTCATACAGGAACTTGCTGATTGATTGATTGGTTTTACGTCCACTTCACTACCGAGTAGTTCGGTTATCCAGCAGACGAAGAAATGGTGGGGAAATCATAAGAAGGGATAAAGTATGGAGTGAGGGAATAGAAGAGGGAGACGGAGGAGAAAGGAAGGAACTTGCTGAGAAAATGTAAATATTTGTATGGGCGCCTATAGCCAAGTCAGCCAAGACATCGTACTACCTAGCTATCCATAACGATGTGTAGCGTTATCACGGGTTATTCTCTCATTTCCGTGTGTATAAGATAGAGCTGTCCAGGGTAAGAAAGGGGTAGGACATTTCTTTCTCCCACCTTTCACAGGTGTGTCTCCCTTTTTAGCCGTGAAAGATCAGTTCGTGCCGATTAGCACGTGTTCAATTGTGACGTCATTAAAATGCGTCACCGGTAATTGTGACGTCATCAAAAGTGAATGACGATATTCATACTCCACATGTGTTTTTTGTTTACGCTACTGTCGGTGGAGTTTTGACTGAAATAATAGGATGGGAGAAAAATATTCATCCCCTACCTTAAGGGTTTAACAGAGAAATCTCTAACCCTCGGGATGATTTTTTTTAGTTGTCTTACACAGACAACAGAAAATCATCACCCCTCGGGTTGGAGATTTCTCTGTCACACCCTCAGGGTAGGGGAATATTCTATTAATCCTACACCACATTTTACATGACATGACATGACATCACAATGGCTCAACAATGACGTGACGTCACGAATTTGGGGAAAACACCGATGGCGCAATGCGGAAAAGGCAACGTGATGAAATCAAAACCTTTAACGATATATTTAACGTACACGTTAGAAAGATGAGTTTTTTTTTTGCGCAAACTATGTTTGCAAATATGAGGTATGCTAAATCTCGCTGACGAATTTGTTTTTTGTCAAAAAAGCTTTGGGGGAAAATTGATATTTTTAAAATGGTAGCCAGTCCAAACCCAATTTCGTGGTTTCTGAGCTTATTCTGGTAGTTGGAATGATAGAAAAATACTTTTTAATGCCCAAGGGTGAAGGATAGGGAAATTCCACCCTTGATATTTTCAAATTTGGTAAAACCGTCGGCAAAGCCTCGGGTTGTACCAAATTTAAAATACTCTCAGGTGGAATTTCCCTATCATACACACCTGGACATGAAATAGTGTAGTGAACAAACAAGCATGCCACTAGTTATTTAAAACTTCTACTTCTTAAGTGAAGAACTGTCGATCAACCAGTTTATGTGAAGAACTGGATCAACTACGTAATGCAAGGGAGTACTGTCGACATATATATTTTAGGACATTACTAGAAGAAAGTAAGGACACCGAGACGCGGTATATTCTATCATCGTTTTAACATACCTTTTATATCGAACCGCCATCGAGAACTTGTTGAATTGTTGCTTATATTTAGCCAGTGTGAAGCTGCTTGTAAACCGGAAGTGAGTTGCTGATTGGAATGTAATGTAAAGCTAGGCCTTGAAAAAGAAATTCTGTGTCTATTTATAAGCTAGATGATAAAATCATATGAATGTTGCTGATATTTAAATATTATCTACAAGTTTAATTATACGTGAAATGTTAAAGATTTATTATGATAGTAATAATCATTAAAACTATCTTTCTAGCCTTATGGCGCCATTTTTGTGTTACATTACGCATGTCGTCTGCTATTCTTGCGAGACAAACTGAGACCGAAAGTGTTTGCTTTTTATGAGTTTTGTGTTTTAGCTTTTCCTCACTGATTTAATCACTTTTAATTATAATTATAAGAATAAGGACAGAAAGAGGACACGTGTTAGGAAATTGTAACTTTGTTAATACTAGATTTATAATGCGAGAGGGAGAGGAACCTTTTGTGAGAGTTGATGTGAGAAGCGA